GAGTGTATGTGTCTATTCTAGCAGTCCACAGTACATTTGACATTTTGCCAACACCATGATTCAGCTGCATCTGTTCTTTTGTGCTCTTATTCATTGCCCAGCATTTACCTGCCTGACAAGCAATTGAAAACACCATGGCTTTGGTCAAATGCGCCTTTGTCCTAAAAGGGACATCTTTGCTTTATAACACATTGAAGAGATCTTTTGCATGAGATTTACCCAATGCAATACATTGTTTGGCTTCTTGATGGCTGCTTCCATGGACATTGATAGTGGATCCAAGTAAAATAAAATCCTTGACAACTTCGACATTTTCTTCATATATCATGCTGCTATTTAGTGGTCTAATTGTGAGGATTTGTGTTTTCTTTGCATTGAGTTGTATTCCGCACTGAAATGATGGTATTTGATACTCATCAGTAGGTGCTTCATGTCATCTTTACTTTCAGTAAGGTTGTCATTTGCATAATCGTAGGCTGTTAGAAAGTCTTCCCCAATCCCGATGCTGTGTTCTTGTACATATAAACCAGTTCTCAGATGATTTGCTCAGTAAACAAATTGTGTGGTGAAAGGACAATAATTAAAAACCAGGCAGAATTCCCTTGTTCTATTCAAATGACTGTCTCTTGGTCCATGTACAGGTTCCACATGAGTACAATGATCTGTTCTGGAATTCCCATTCTCTGCAATACTAACCATAAATTGTTGCAATCAACAAAGTTGAATGCCTTTTAATAACCAATAAAGCCCAGGCAAACATCTTTCTGGTGTCCTCTGCTTTAAGCCACGATCTACCTGATGTCAGTAATCAAATCTCCTGTTGCACGTCTTGGACTGAATCTGGCTTGAGTTTCTGGCAGTTTACAGTCTATGTACTGCTGCATCTATTTTTGAATTTTCTTCAATAAAAGTGGATCACATGTGGTTTTAATCTCATTCTTTGCTAATTTCTGATTTCTGTTCGGTCATCTTTCTTTGTAATGGGCACAAATATGGATCGCTTCTAGTTGGTTGACCAGATAGCTGTCTTCCTTTTTTTTTTTTTTTAGCATAGACAAGTGAATGTTTCCAGTATTGCATCTGTGTGCTGAGATTTCTCAACGGGTGTTTTGTCAGTTCCCTGACTTATTTTTCACAACACTTTCAGCGCAACTTGGACTTCTTCCTTCAGTACCACTGGTTCTTGATCATGTGCTATCTCCTCCTATGATTGACCCTCGACTGGTCCTTTTTGGCACCGTGTTTCTGTTTCCTTCCATCATCTTTTGATAGTGTCTTCAATATGTTGCCCATAAAATCTTATTGCAATTCCAGGCTTTGCTTTTTAATTTAGTTCCTTCAGCTTGAGAAATGTTGAGCACGTTCTTCTCTTCATTTTCTAACTTCAGGTCTTTGCACATTTCACTATGAGATGAGGGTAAGTAAAAGGCGTTGCTACAATAGAAGTCATTATTACACAAAAATATGAAAACGTGAAGCCACTGTACCTTGACATGGTCTCCATGTAAGTCCACGTACTGCTCAAGGCAGCGTGTCCATCTTTCTCAGCATCACCTGTGCGCTTCACTTCACACCTTCAAAAGGGCAGTTGGGCATCCTCAAGGAACTCAGACCATACTCCGTTTCAATATTTTTTTAGTTTGGGGCTACATGAGGTCACAAGAGACAAGATCAAAGCTGTGGGGTGATGGATAGGGCAAAGTTTTGCAATGAAATTCTCTTCAGACAGCCCTCATTACTATCAGAGAACGAACACGGGTGCGCTGTTGGGTGTGGGGTGAAAGAGGGGGGTCCCCCCCAAATCATCACAGGTCTGGTAGGCGCAGGCGCAATTGTATACTGTAGTAAAGTTATAGAGAGCATGAAAGGTAGAGGAGAGATTGGAATAAATGGAGTCAGACACAATTCATGGTAGCATGCTCACCTCAGCCCCACTTGGTGGTCCTGGTGGGGGGAGCCTGGCCGCGAGAGCAGGAGATAGTCTCTGGAACCGAGAACTGGAGAGAGCTCCCAGGCCCCAGGATCCAGAGAGAGCTCTTTCTTTATTGCCAACCAAGCGTTACATCTCTTCAGGGGGACATGATTACAGGTAATCATACGTCACAGGAAGGGGCAGTACAATAGGCATACACATTGTAGGAAGGGGATGTATGATAGGCATAAGCGTAACAAGAAGGGGATGAGCTAGGGGTGTGCCCATAGGAATGGGAAGGTCTAGGGGTATACTGTGACAAGAAGGGCGGACCTTAGATTCATGATGGCAGCCCAACTATGGTCATCCTTGGGTGGGTTTGACCTCTCTGGTGCCTCCTACAAGGAAACAGACAACTACTATCCTTATCAAAAGGGAGTGGGCCCTACTTGTTGTGGGATAAACAGTGGTGTCTGCTTGCTCTAGATGGCTGATAGCTCTTAGGGAGAATGACCCCTGATCTATTCTTGATGACCTCCAAGTGTACAGTCATTCTCAAGCAGGTAAGTCTGGCATATATTTCGGGGAGACAACTTGGGAGAAATCCTTCTGTTTCCTACAGTTGGGATGGAAAACAAACAAATGGAACATAACTCCTTGGTGCAACTTCCTTGGTTCTTTCTGACCAATGCAGTTTTCAATTTTTATAATAAGCCCTCATGGTTGTCTTATGTCATTTGAGAAAATCTATCAAGATTGTCCCTTGGGAGTCCTAAAAATCCCAGCCACCATAACCTTCTAGCTGACCCCTCTGCCTTAAGTTTAAGGGGCCCATCAGATGTCCTCAAAAGTCACTGTTTTGATCGGACCTTTTTTTTTTAAAGGCACACTAATGCGACTGTGCATTACTGCTATAACTGGTCTGCAGCCATTCACGGATGGCAGAGACCCATTCAGACATGCTTAATTTGGATATTAGAAGCCTGTGCCTGTATGAGCCAGAATGCTATGTAGTAGCAACACGAAAAACAAACAGTAGCAATACCTTTTGAACCCCCCTTGTGTACTTTACTTCCTCTGTTTAAGCAGACCTGTGAATCTCGATTTCCGTGCGTTGAATGCATCATTACTTCTGAACGTTTGCAACGGTATCTTTTTTTTTTTTAAACATTTTATTAGGGGCTCATACAACTGTTATCCCAATCCATACACACATCAATTGTGTAAAGCGCATTTGTACATCATTCTCAAAACATTTTCTCTCCACTTAAACCCCCGACATTAGGTCCTCATTTTTCCCCTCCCTCCCCACTTCCCCCTCCCTAATGAGCCCTTGATAGTTTATAAATTGGTATTTTGTCATATCTTGCCCTGTCCGATGTCTCCCTTCACCCACTTTTCGGTTGTCTGTCCCCCAGGGAGGAGGTCACATATAGTTCCTTGTAATCGGTTCCCTTTTTCCTACCCATTCTCCCTTTACCCTCCCTGTTTCGCCACTCACACCACTGGTCCTGTAGGGCTCATCCACCCTGGATTCCCTGTATTTTCAGTTCCTATCTGTACCAGTGTACCTCCTCTGGTCTAGCCAGACTTGCAAGGTCAAATTTGAGTCATGGTAGTGGGAGCGGGGAGGAAGCATTTAGGAACTAGAGGAAAGTTGTATTTTTCATCGTTGTTACATCGCACCCTGACTGGCTCGTCTCCTCCCCGAGACCCCTCTGCAAGGAGAGCTCCAGTGGCCTATGCAACGGTATCTTTTATGGAGTTATGCTACACCAGTGAATGACAGGTCTTGAAGGCCTGATTCCATCTGCACCATGAAGTTCAACTGTTCCTTGAGGCGGCAGCTCTTCCTCTATCCTACTTTGGGTGTCTTCCAAACTGTGGGGCTCCTCTGCTGGCATTATATTAGACCGTGCTCTGCTGCGATGTATAAGGCTTTCATTGCCCAAAATTCTTTTAGAAGCAGCTTGGCAGAATCCTTCTTGCCATTCTCTCTTTGTCTGGAAGCTCCCAGAAACCTGTCCACTGTGGGTGACCCTGCTGTCATTTAAAACACCAGTCAGTGAGCTTCCAGCATCACAGCCACAGACGTGCCACTGCAGTATGACAAACGGATGGACAAGTGATGCTGTTCTTCATTCAACAACATTAAAACATCTGCAAGGACCACTTGCTATGGCTCTATAGACTCGTGTTTTTAGAGGTGAGACTACCCTTACAGGCCTGCTCTCCTGAGAATTTGGGTACACATTGTTAAGAAACTATTGCCATTACTCTTACGATACTTAGCAAAAGGGGCTTATCTGGTATATTCTCACTCATATTTTGGCTAAAAATGGATAATGGCCATTGACGTTCAGCCTTTCAGGTCATCAGAAAAAGAGATAATTTTATTAGATATAGTTTCTTTTTCCTGCAAAAACTTCAATATTGTTTTAGCAGTGTATATCTATCTATCTATATTTATTTATGTATGTATTTTTTCATTTTGTATGGCCCTGTAAGGTTTTAAAATTTGGGAAGCCACTTAGGCGAATTCTCTTCTGGGGAGCCTTCCACGAACCAGGAGACCGCATCCTCTCAGCCGGCACGCTTCTTAAAAGGAAATGTGGCCTGGGCAAAACATTTCCTTTTCCTCTCAACATGGAACGGAGAGTGTCCCTCACCAATTAGATGGGGTCCCTGTGGGCCTCAGAACTTTCCACCTGCGCCCAGGTCTCTATGGCGATGCACCCCGCTGCTGGAGCGGAAACGCAGGTGTGTGGGCAGGCGGGAGGCAAAGCAGGCGGGTCCAGCTCGAGTGCCCCGGGCCCTGCGGCGCCCCGC